CCACAAGAGTGAGACTCCAACTAAAAAAAAAAAAAAAAAAAGCGATGGTCAAAGTAAGTTATAAACAGGACTAAGTGTGCTTGTTGTGTTGGCTGATTTTGTGGGAGTTCCAACTAGCATTAGAGTCCTCCAGGGCTTCATGTGGAAGAAACATGATCTCAGAGGAAAGTCGGTATACGCCAAACAAGCCCTGAACTGGAAAAAAGAACAGTGTGTATGCTTTTGTCCCAAACCTCTCTCTCACCAACTCATTCTCCAAGCAGGTGGGCAGATCTATACACACATCCACAGGCACTTAAATAGAGTGTACAAATCTCCCTGAAGGAATCTGAGTGGGAAGCAGCCCAGTATTTGTACTTACAGTAGCTAAAAAACAAAGGTATCAATTAGAATCTTTTAAAAAGGCACTGAGAAAGAAATCCAGGCACTGCCCAGCCAACCACTCCCCAGGCAAGAATAGTATTCAGTATTACTTCCACTCGAGGGCATCCCTAAAACTAAAATGATGCCTCAGACTTAGTTTCATATCATTCATTTATGGGCATGCTGACAGAAATATGCTTTTGTTTTGTTCACATGTATATCTCCAGTGCACAGCAGTAATCTTTCTCAATATACAGTAAGTTGGGCTTCTAAAGAGAGCAAATATGGCGATCATACCAACCCTGAGTATGCTGCACATGCGTGATTTCTCACAAATTTACAAGCTGTTAGTTTTACAAATCAGATACATGGACTTTGTTAATTTGAGTCCCAATGTAAGCTATCTGAGCCTGAAACAGAAAAGCACCCTAACATCATAAACTCACCATGAAAAATTGAATAGTCATTGAATCCAAGTAACAGGGATATGTTTGATTTCAGAAAGGATCTCCCCTTCCCACTGCTCTTGCACTGTAGAGCCAGGTGTGTATAGCTGGGCCATTGAGGATAACTAATGCTTCTTGACTGCTGCTACATGTATATGCTTCTACAGAACGCTGTGATGTCAAATATTAATCATAACAGTTCCTTTTATGAATAGTTTTTTTGGAGGGAGGGTGTCTGTGCTGTTGTAACAGAATACCTGAGACTGGGTAATTTATAAAGAACGTATTTATTTCTCTCAGTTCTGGAGGCTGGGAAGTCCAAGATCAACGCTCCAGTAGTTTTCAGTTGTTTGGTGAGGGCCACGTCTTCTGAAGAGGAAGAAAGCTGTGTCCTAACACGGTAGAAAGAGGAGGGCAAGAGAATCAAATGCTACCTGAAGCCTCTTTTAGAAGAGCCCCACCTTAACCCTATTCATGAGGGAGTCCTCAATACTATCAAGAGGACAACACCTGAACCGGGGGGATGGGGGGATGTCAACAAATAAACCACAGCAGAGGGGAAGCAACCTCTCTTGCTTCGAAACTGGTTTCCCTTAGTCTTGACTTAAAAGGCACACTTCTGAGCCAACAGATTTTCACCTTTCCTTAGAAACTTAAAGTCCATTTCTACCCATCGGAGCAGGGAATGGTGCTGTCTTAGACTGATTCACAGGCTTTAAAAGGCCAAAAGGAAAAAGAATTAACAAATAATGACCGCGAGAGAGTAAGGTGAAGAGTATCATTGCTTTTCTGGATACGAGCACAAAGGCCCAACTGGGCCCCACTATTTATTTCTTTATAATCTGTAACACAGAAAGTCCTGTCCAAGCCAGGCACGGTGGCTCACACCTGTAATCCCAGCACTTTGGGAGACGGAGGCGAGAGGATTTTCTGAGCCCAGGGGTTCAAGACAAGCCTGGGCAACTTGGCAAGGCCTCATCGCTATAATAAATTAAAAAAAAAAATTAGTCAGGCATAGTGGCTCGCACTTGTGGTTTCAGCTACTTGGAAGGCTGAGGCAGAAGGATCACCTGAGCCCTGAAGGTTGAGGCTGCAGTGGCCGTGAGTGTGCCACTACACTCCAGCCTGGACATCAGAGTGAGACTCTTACTCAAAAAAAAAAAAAAAAAAAAAAGTCCTGTCCAGTTATGTGCCTTCTCTTTGGGCTATATTCAGTATAAAGCTGACTGGCATTAAGATGAAAAGGAAGCATTTATAAACAAGAATAGAGTCAATATCGAATACACTTGAAGTAACTTTTTAAAGAGACTGGGTTTTTTCAAATATATTTATTTACCACATTCTTTACATATGCAGTATCTTGCCATTTTTGTGTATATATATTTTTAAGTTCAAAAAATTTTCCATTAATGTTAATACAATGCATACTAAACAAAGTATTGGTACCAATAATTAGACAGACAAGGATTTGCAAGGGGAGGATGACATAGGAATAGAGCAAACAAGAACAAATTGGAAAAGACATCTTTAATTTCAGAAAAACCTTTAAAAACAACTTGACTTCTGTGACCTTTCTGCACTTCTCAGAACACTATGGATTAACATACAAACTGGAAAGATATAGACACAGGAAGCTGCTGCATCATCCCACATGGCAGAGTCTTGACTGGGCTTCAGCTCTTTTCCCATCCAAGAATTCCCGTATAGGAATTCAAACTGTATCTCTAAATGACAGGTGCACAACTGGGTGCATGCACGGCCTGTTTTCAAAGGTATTTAAGACAAAGTTTAGCTACTGCTTCATTAAGAAAAACATCACAGAGCATGGTGCAGTATCTACTAGCTTAAAGTTCAGCACTACACCGGGAAAGGCTTACTGACAGCAGAAATATGAATGCATTAATGTATAAATAAGAGAGAGCGAGCACTTGGGAAAAAATACAGAAGCAGTTTTAGATTTAAATTGTATAACTTCTGAAATTAACCTGTTTTCTCAACTCCAAACTATATGCTAAAGTCTTTATAGTTTACAAAAAAAAAAAAACTTTATTAAGGATTTAGTAAATGATATAGATTACACAGCATTCATACTAACCTACAGCTTATCAACTAGTATTATTGTCTGTTGACTTACAAATTGGACATTAAATTTAGGGTGGGGAAGATGGGCTTCATTTATCCTATTTCAACCAGAGTAGCTGTATTTTATCCTCTCTTAAAACTAGGCTTATATGAAACATTTAATTTCCACAAGCGGTCTAAAACACTGGATTACCTGATAGAAACTTAAGTGATGTTAAAAGCTAATCAAATCCTTATACAAGCTTCACTTATAGCATTTGTTTTATTCCTCAAAACATTCATGCTCCAGTTTCTTCAAATCCAGAGCCAGAAAGATATATGAAATAATGTCCAAGACAGATCTTTCTTCAATTGTGTGTATATGTTTATTATACACACTATATATAGCATTATGTAATGTATAGTATTACATAAATGACATGAAATTTTACACAGGATTGGTAAGCAAATCACTTAAAACTTTGCTAAAAGGTATGAGCTATCTTCCATTAAGAACTAATTCTGAAAAAACAAAACAAAACAAAACAAAACAAAAAAAAGAACTTTATTCTGCCTTCCAAAACTATAAGTATTTGTTACACTGGCAGAAATAAGGCCTCATTTCCCATCTTCTCCATAAACTCTAAAACTTAAGTCATCACACTAGATCTAAATACTTGACTTAAATGCCTAGGTAAAAGCAGAAATGTGTTTCTTTTTAGAAGCTTGCTACCCTACCCTAATATAAAAGCCAATAAACCTCAAAGTCATTTTGGAAAGATGAAAACATGAGTCAGTGTCTTTAACAATCTTGTTAAAAACAACCAGGCAAAGTGGCTCAGCCTGTAATCCCGCACCTTTGGGAGGCTGAGGTGAGTAGATTGCCTGAGCCCGCGGGTTCAAGACCCACCTGGGCAGCGAGACCTCATCTCTACAATAAATCAAAAAATCAGCCGGGCGTGGTAGCGCACGCCTGTAGTTCCGGCTACTCGGAAGGGCGGAAGGATCGCCGGAGCCCAGCAGGTCGAGGCTGCGGTGGCCAGGAGCGGCCACTGCACTCCAGTCTGGGTGACAGAGTGAGACTCCAACTCAAAAAAAAAAAAAAAACAACCAGGCAAATTCCATTATAAAGAGCCTATTATATTGAGGTGCATGTCATTTAAAAGAAAAGTATAAATTCTTGGGAGTCTGCAGCATTTGAAACATTCATATATATATATATTTTTCCCCCCCTTTTTTTGAATTGGAGTCTCACTCTGTTGCCCAGGGTGGAACACTCACAGCCACCCCAGTGTCGACCTGCTGGGCTCTGGTGATGCTTCTACCTCAGCCTTCCAAGCAGCCAGAATTACAGGTGCGTGCTACCATGCCCAGCTAATTTTTTATTTATTGTAGAGATGAGGTCTCGTCAAGTTGCCCGGGCTGGTCTCGAACCTGTGGGCTCAGGCAATCCACTCACCTCAGCCTCCCAAAGTGTTGGGATTACAGGGTGAGCCACCGAGCCCGGCCAAAACATTCACATTTTTAAAAAATACCAATGCAATAGATGATATTAAGGATTTAGATTTAGAATTCATGGAGGGTAAGAAAATAATGAAGTCCTATCTCTGCCAAGGCTAGTAACTTTGCAACAATCCTATGAGGTAGTTATTACCCCCATTTTACAGACGAGGAGAACTGTGGCTCTGATAAATTAAGCAACTTTGCCCAAGGTCACATTGCTAGTAAGCATGAAGAACCAAAAGCCCATGCTCGTTTTTTTCACTGCACCAGTGGTTTTCAAAATGAGTATTTTGGAGTAGGAAAGAATGGTGTACCAAGCAAGACAGGCTCCAGGCCCACTATTACTATCTCCACCAAAAGTAGCTATATTGGATCTGTTTCACATGCTAAGCTTAACAATTTTTTTTAATGGTTCCACAACTAAAACAAAAGTGTAAACAACTGTACTGTATCAGGCCACCTCATTAATACAGTTATTACTTTACCTTTATCTTTCCCCAAATGAAACAAATGAATATTACTCAAAATTACTAATACCCACACAAAAGAGATACTATTTTGCAAAGAAGACCACTTGACAATGAATAAATTACATCGTTTTTAGGCTATGTAGACCAAATGAACAACTTTTAAGTATACAATGTTAAGGTCTATAAAAACTTCAAGATTCAATTCTTTAGGTAAGTATAATTTTAAAATTAGAATGAAAATTATCTATACTAAATGAATTAATTTTACAACATAATCTATGCTTGCCAATATAGATTATTATTATTTTTTGAGTTGGAATCTCACTCCATTGCCCAGGCTGGAGTGCAGTGACACGCTCATGGCCACCCCAGCGTCAACTAGCTGGGCTCAGGCGATCCTTCCACCTCAGCCTTCCAAGTAGCTGTAACTATAGGAGCGTGCTACCACGCCCACCTAATTTTTTGATTTATTGTAGAGATGAGGTGTCACCAAGTTGCCCAGGCTGTTCTTGAACCCGTGGGCTCAGGCAATCCCCTCACCTCGGCCTTCCGAAGTGCTGGAGTTACAAGTTTGAGCCACCACGCCCAGCCACCTACATAGATTATTTATATATTGTACTTGCTTAACTTGCCAGTGTCACCCACTTTTACCTTGCGACTAATGAAAAAGAACAAAACAGTTTTCCCACTCCTTTTGATTCCAAAATGTTGTAGTTGCTGACAGGCTAAGAGCAGCCTCCATTTTCTAATTAAATTCTAATATAACGCAAGCAACTTCACTTGGACAATTGCAATACATTAATCCACCAACAAACAAAACTCCATTTTGCATCATTTTCCAGGAATGAGAATAAAAGCACTTATTTATCCCACACAAAAAGGTACTAGAACATCAAGTTAGGGATCCAATGAGAAAGTGAAATACATACTACTGAGTTGTTCTGCTGATATGTCCAAAATCACATTTACTATCATTAATACTTCTTACAATAATTCTAAGATCATTACTTTTCATAAAGAAATAATCATCCTATAACTGAAAATAACTTTTACTACTATTAGCAAATAGGAAAATTAAATAAATATCCCTAAAACAGATTAGCAAGAGGTTTTAGTTTTTATTTATTTGCTTAAAGAGTGTAGTTGATTGTTAAAAGAAAAAACTTTTGCTAAAAGCAGCTAGCAAAAAGATCATAGCTATCAAACCAATTTCTTTCTTGGAAAGTGGCCATCCCTGTAAGTGTGACATGTTTTTGGAAGTTTCTTAGGACAGTCTTAGCATTCTAAACAGTCTATTGTCATTTGTTGCTACTTAATCTTGGGCAGAAATATCACTAATAAAGAAGAGACCTTTTAAAAAAATAGCCTCAATCAGTCCAACAAATACAGTATTCAGAAATACTACAGAACAACAAAGTCCTATATACATTATGGTACCTCTAAACAGAAATATTAACCTAAGAATTTCACTCTCTTGCTTCAACATATTGGCTTACTCACAGCCCATCTTAGACTAATCCGCTTTCATTATATTTAAGACACAGTTATAAATTCAAGTGACTAATTCATTTCAATTTTTAAGAAAAACACCAGGAATTACCAGCTACATTGAAGCAGTCTTCTTAGGAGGTCATGGTTCCATTACCATTATAATACTATTAAGCAGAATATTTCTGCTTGGGAACATGTGAAACAGGTTTTAAAAATAACCTCCTTTGAGGTGTACTTGTGTCTGTTGAAGTTGCCCAGACTCATTCGGAACAAAGGTGAAGTGAATTAACTAACTGTTAAGCTGGATACTTGTGGTCCAAATTAATTGTGACTATTAAGAAATTCTAATTTCCTTTCTGTGAGACTCAAATTGACTTTAAAACAATTCCAAAAAATACCAAGACAGCCTCAAGTGGCTGTTCCAAGTAACAATAATCATTTAAATAATTCATAAGTTTCACTTCTTTGGGTGGGAAGTTAACTATATGGTCGCTGATATCCCATCCGATGCTTAATCTTTAAACATAATCATACTTCATGCATACAAACAAAATAATCCCAACATATCACTTTATATTAGGAATGGGTATCTCATAATATGAAAATATCATACAATAGAGTACATTTCCTTGACAACAATCACATATTAATTTGTTTCATCTAAAAACATACTACCATTAAAAGTATAATTGAACAAATGCAGAAGCCAGCTTCTGGATCCTTAATTATCACTTTACTATTAGTGGAGGTGATTAACACTTACATTACAGACTTACTAGTCAGCAAAATAACTCAAGATAAATCAATATTTAATAGACAATAAAATACCTGTTCTAAAGGATATTCATTTCAAAAAAGTAAAGACCTTAAAGTTTAAAGACATTATCTTCCATACTCAGTTCCATGACAAACAAAATAAACACATGATTGATTCTGCAAATATTTTTTAAAAATTACTTTGGAAGTAATAAGAGGAAATTTTTTTTCCTGTGCTACTCTTTCATTTTCCCTTCCTACTTCTGATTCCCTCGATATATAATACTACTGATGATCAAGAGTTCAAAGTAAAAGATACCTTTTTGTTTCACAGAAAGCGTGACATATAGAGAAAACAGGATAAAAACTGAGTAGAACTGAACTTTCTTCAAAAAAATTACAAAATAGGATACATAGCAAGACTACTCTTGGAAAATAGATATTTTTTCTTTCTACTAGAAATAGTAAAAATCAATCAATATTATTTTTTTCCCTCAATTGCATGTTTACTTAGCATACATTCCAACAGTGTACATGAAAAAAAATTCTAAGCCAGAGGTACTTAAACAATTTCTTCATAAGTGTTTTGGCTAATTCAGTAGTAAAGAAAGTATAATGTTTAGTCTCTAACTGGACAGAGTTAAGAAACAAAACTTATAATTACGAAGGCTTAAGCTGACATGACCTAGTAGGAATCTGTCATAACCTCAGCTATTAGTCTCCCTTCCCCCTCCCACCCCCAAAAAGAAGTCCTGCTCTGCCCAAGTGTAGAAGATGTCAGTGAACTTCCAACAGCTCTGCTTCAAGTGATCTAGGAATGGAGTGAACCACCTGTAAAGCCTGGAGTGGTCCAAATAACACAGATAACTTCAGTAACAGCTGGAAACAGCTGGCTCCAAATCAGGAAGAATACCCAATCCTCAGTGACAAGGAGGGAAACAAAATCCAAGCTTCTAAAACACGTAACGACAAGTCCAGGAACGTGGCCGGATATAATCCAAAAATGTGGGCTACAGTGGGGGGGGGGGGAAGAATGGAAGAATAGTTTACTTGTATACACTGTGTGCACGAGGTGTGGAGGTAGGCGAGGGGTGTTAATATTATTATATACAGTACATCTCTAAAATGCCTCCCAGCATTTCAATAACCTTCAAGGTATAAGCAGCTAATTCAAAAGATGTTCAGTCCTTTTATCTGTACACAGATTTATTCAATTTAGAAGCTTCATGTGAAGCTTTTGAAGTCCAGTAAACTCTACACAATTGCACGTACTTAAACCAAATTCTAAATAGACACTATTTCTTTCTGTATCTTGTCTTTTTATCTGAGCACAGCTCTACTTTTTTTTAGTAGCCTAAAATCTAAATGGTGGTTGGTTAAGAATGATAAAAATGTACATGCAAACGACTATAATACAAGGCTTAAACTTACTGCACTATCTAAAGAAGGATCAGAAGAAATACTACAAAATTCAGAAATAGGAAAGGGAGAAGAGCAAGAATTTGAAACAGCTTCACGAAAGAGCATCTAAGTTGAATTTTGATAGGAGAATAAAATCTCACATGTGGAATCTGAGTATAGAAAGCACAGTGACCAGGGACAAAGTTCACAACAATTAGTTCAGATACACAAAGAGAACTGTAGGAGTAAGGAGGAGGAGTTGAGGCAGCATAACAAAAACAGGATACACAGAAGAAGGAGAAGCTTTAGAGAGAAATTGATAAATTTGACTGTGGACATCTTGAGTTATAGGTGTCTGTGAGGCAAAAACATATCAGGAAGAAACCCCATCTGAGCCTGGGAAGTTGCAGGGGTTGAATGACTCCTTAGCAGGGCCACCAAATTTAACAAATAAAAGTGCAGGATGCCCAGATAAACTTGACAGATAGCCCTAACTACTGAATTTTTGTAATTTATTGAAAAAAGCCAATTGTGTAGCCATTAGGGTGTTTTGAGAAAGCCAATACAGAAAGCAGGACAAAATCATTAAATGCAGGACATTTAAATGCTGTGTTGCTCAGGCACAGTGGCTCATGACTATAATTCCAACACTTTGGTAGGCCAAGGCAGGACTGCTTGAATCCAGGAGTTCAAGACCAGCCTGAGCAACACAGCAAGACCATGACTCCACAAAAAACAACAACAAAAAAAAAAATGTAAAAAATTAGCCAGGTATAGTGGTGCACGCCTGTAGTCCCAGATACTTGGGAGGCTGAGGTAGAAGGAAAAAAAGGCCAGGCTGCAGTAAGCCATGAACGTGCCACTGAACTCCAGCCTAGGCAACAGAGTAAGACCCAACTCAAAGAAAAGAAAAATAAATTACAGGACATGCCCTATATATACAAGATGCCTGGTAATGCCACTTCCTAGGAGTATGTCTACCCATGAATTTCTGCCTATAACTATAAGCAGTGCTTTCAGCCCAAGCACAGACCCACTTAACCAGATCATACCAATTAAATTAACCAGAGTGTTTGCCGGAAAATTCATAAGACTATGTTCTACATTATGTTACTTAAAAAAAATTATTTTTTTAAAAAAGGCATCCTCCTAAAATTTGGAAGTACCCCAAATACAGCTAAAAACTAAAGCCCTAACAATAGATGAAACCTGAACACAATTACAATAAAGAAAAAAAACCACAAAACAAAAAAACTAATAACCAAGGGAAATGGGATCCTAGGCATGTCAGTATTGTCTGATATTTTTATAAGAGTTTATTGAGAAGAAAAAGATAAAAAATACATGTTTAGATGGTGGTGACAGGGACATACAGCCATTGGGAAAGCTCTGGAGAATACTTACATTTTCAGGAGACAGAGAAAAATACAAGCGGCTAAAGAAAAAGCATTTAAAGAAAAAAGAAAACCAAGAACCAGGAGAGTTAAATGTGAAGAAAACTAAAGAAAAGAAAAATGTCAAGGATAATACAGTAAGATCAGATAATAAACTAGTGCTTTTGCTCCATATATTCCTCCCTTCAGCACTAATTCATCACAATTTACGATCCTCCGTAACACTGCTCCCAACCCTTACAACTGGGGGACAAACAGGTTACTTTTGCACTCCAACCAGTTTGATAACTCACATTTTTCAGAGGACAGTGCTGACGTGCATACCACTCTTGAGAATAAAAACACAGCATGACTCCATGGCCCAAGAAAAGAGAAGTCCACATCAGAACATTCCAAATCGGTCTTTTCCTACTATCATTGACAATGAAGTTGAAAGCCACTAAAGTTAGGAAATAACAAAAAATATATACAGTTATCAAAACATAATCTATCAGGAGATTAAGGGCCTAGATATACACCATCATCATTTAATATTCACAGTAAGCATCAACTGTTTATCCATATATTTCATTTTGGTCATTGATTCTACAAATAAGATTAAAACTTCCGCCGGGCTCAGTGGCTCAGCCTGTAATCCTGCGCCTTGGGGAGGCTGAGGTGAGTGGATTGCCTGAGCCCGCAGGTTCGAGACCCGCCTGGGCAGTGAGACTTCATCTCTACAATAAATCGAAAAATCAGCCGGGCGTGGTAGCATGCCTGTAATTCCAGCTACTTGGAAGGCTGAGGCGGAAGGATCGCCGGAGCCCAGCAGGTTGAGGCTGCAGTGGCCGGGAGCGGCCACTGCACTCCAGTCTGGGAGACAGAGTGAGACTCCAAATAAAAAAAAAAAAAAAAAAAAAAGATTGAAACTTCCATGTTGAAATTGGTAATTAATAGGAAATCAACAGTATTCAGAACAGGTGAAAATATATTTTATAGACTAATTTATATTCCAACTTGTCCCTCTTCACCCACTCAAATGGTCAGTTGTTCAGGGGATGCATATTGACAGTGTTTATGAGTGGGGAAGTTGTTTATATAGTTTTTATGATCCACCAAATTAGTGTTATGAATGGTCTTCAAAAGGTTACCTATTTCATTTTCCTACTTCCAAGTATAAACATCTTGAGACAGAGTTGTGTGTAATTATTCAAAGTGAATATTCAGACCATCTGATAAACACACACTACCTCAAAATGGGATTACTACCACCTTAATTTTCCCACATTGACTTTATAGTTTCTTTGCTGCTTGATTTTCCCTTTGAGTATAACAGCCAGTACTCACAGCATGCTAAGATACTTACTTCCAAAGAACATGAAGAGCACGAAGAGCACGGGATAGAAAAAGCTCAAGCAAACAGCCAAGGCATATTCGTGCACTATAGCAGACACAGCAAAGACAGCTAACATGGCAGCAGATTTGAACCTTTTAGAGAAAAGCTAAAGTAAAAGGAAAACATTAAAAAAGTAATTTTAAAAAAATTTAAAGTAAGCATGAATTATTTAAGACATAATTATCACATGCTAAAGGCACCTATTATGTTTATGCTTGATTTTCCAAGTATACTCCTTGGATTAATCCACACTATTAAAATAATTGCAAAAACTACATATACTCATAAACTCTTATTTATTAAAATGAGGTATTTTTCCAAAACATTATTTGAAGATCTGGGTATATTTTCAAAAACATTAATAGTATATATTTATAAGCTATTATGGTGACATAGTTTTCATATACAAAAGAAACATATATAATTTCAATCTTTAGAGGAACACGTAGATAGGGCAAGTGTCCTCTCCATTTTACAGCTAACAAAAGTAAGATCTAGAAAAGAGAAAGGACTTGCCGTACCACATGTGAAACTACACTTAAATGACAGAACTAGCACTCAAATAAAATGCTACTTCTACAACACAATGCTGTTACTAAGTCATTACTTAATAACAAAAAAGGCCAGACTCGGTGGCTCAGCCTGTAATCCCGTGCCTTGGGAGGCTGAGGTGAGTGGATTGCCTGAGCCCGCGGGTTCGAGACCCACCTGGGCAACTTGTGAGACCTCATCTCTACAATTAATCAAAAAATTAGCCGGGCGTGGTAGTGCACGCCTGTAGTTCCAGCTACTTGGAAGGCTGAGGCGGAAGGATTGCCGGAACCCAGCAGGTCGAGGCTGCGGTGGCCGGGAGCGGCCACTGCACTCCAGTCTGGGCGACAGAGTTAGACTCCAACTCAAAAAATAAAAATAATAATAATAATAATAATAACGGTTATCCAGATACCAGTATTAATCACCTTTAAAATTTAAGATTATATTTTATTAGTCCAAATACATTCTGTTCTAGAGAATGTCTCAAAGACATGTGCCATTAACTGGAAAGACAGAAATCCACACAAAGGTGTTTTTCTACATTCAACAAAGAAAAACAAATTTTTAAAAAGTAGATGGAGATTATTTCCCAGCAATGAGATTCATAAAACATGTTTTATTACTGGTGAATCATTGCAGCTCCTCCACAGACCTCTACACATTCTTATTTTGTTATCATGTAAAATGAAAGCAGAGCAAAACACAGGATTAGACCTAGTACTGTACATACTGATTTCTAAGCAGTACTAACTATTCAAAGCAGAACAGTTTTTAGATATAAATGTCTTATAAGAAAAGATACTACCACCTTTCCTTCATGAGCAGTTAAGAACAGCTTATTAAGCTGTATAATACTAATACTTTCTGGAAAAGAAACTCCATTTCTTAAATAGTATCAATTCAATACTGCTGCTTACCCAGAGAAAGTCCTTGTAAGCATAGTAATATAGCCAATCATGAACCACCACATTCCAGGTCCTGTAATAGTTAGAGTATGATGTGGAGTTCCACCAATCCTGAGGGAAAAAGTAAAGGTATAAAACCACACACACACAAATCCCTAAAGTAAAACTTTCTGAATTTTCCCAAAGAACTCAGAGTATACTGTGACAAACTATTAGTCCATACACTGATATAAAAAAAAAATCTTAAAAGGAATTTTGGTTATTAGTATTGAATGACATTAATTCTAGCACTACATATGATTAAGTTTCAAGGTTCATTTTTGTCTCATTATCAAAACACTTATGATAGAAGATACAGAACATGCAGAATCAATTAAATCTAATGTTCTTCTAAACATCAATCAGTAACACCCTCCTATCCCTTACTATGCCAGAATGCAATTAAGAACATTCTGAAGTCATGAAAAATAGCTAGAATGCCAACACTAAAGAGCTGATGGGTAGTATAATAAATGGCAAAATTTAAGTTATACAAGGAGTGAAACAGTTGCTGCCTCCAAATCTTGGTGTCCTTTTATATATTTCTGGCTTCCAATTTTAAGATAAGATTGCTGAAATCAAATATCTAAAGTCTGCAATCCACACTTAATTTTTTTTTGAGAAAAGAGTGGTAGATAGAGTATTGCCAAAAAAACCCCAAAATTCAAAAAGAGCTTTGGGTAGGATTATAGAACACTATGAATCACTCTGGCTTTAGTCTGGAGCTTAATTCCAACTTTAGAAGTACAAGGATACTCTTTTTTTTTTGTCCTGAGGCAGGGTCTCACTGTGTTACCCAGACTGGAGTGCAGTGGCGCAATCATGGTTCACTGCAGCCTTGACCTCCTGGGTTCAGGTGATCCTCTCACCTCAGCCACCCAAGCAGCTGGGACTGCAGACATGTACCACATGGTCAGCTAATCTTTTTTTATTTTTTGGTAGAAATTAGGTCTTGCTTTGTTGCACAGGCTGGTCTTGAACTCCTGGGCTTAATCAATCCTCTTGTCTCAGCCTCCCAAAGTGCTAGGATCCTTGTGCTCAGCACAAGGATACTATTTTAAGCAGAATTAATTACTTTTCAAAATAAAGGAAAAGTTATTTTCCTCACAAATAGCTCAACAGTCTTAAATAATTTAAGGTCACTCCTACAGCGCTAGATAGTCCATTTCAAATAAATGAACATTCAGGGATGTCTCATAATGTCCTCTGGACTAACACTTTCCTACTATAATCACCAATATTTCCTCCCTCACAGTATCCAGAAGAAACCAGGTGCTTGTATTAAGGGAGCAGATGGTAGAAGCAGAAGAAAAGACAGGTCTATGCCAACTACATCTGTACCAGACTTCAGAACTAATATTGGTAAAATTTGTAGAAAAGAAAAGTATTTTACAGTGTTTGTATCAAAAGGCTGGTGATTAGCCAACAACACTCAAATATTTAATAATGAGGAAATAAATGAAACGTGAAAAGAAAGATGAGTCTAAGTATACATTACCTTATAAAACATCCTATCACCAAAGCGTAACATCTCAGCAAAGGCATTGAGCCAACAGTGCAAAAAGGCAAAAAAAGTAAGGAACAGAATAAGCACACCTAAAAATAAAATTAATGATATTAAGTATCTTTCCAAATAGCTCACATACCAAGCAATTAATTATGTCATTTGTTTGCTGAAATTATTTTGCAAAATACAAATTATTATTCCACCTTACTCATTCCAGATTATTGTGGGGTTATAATTATAAAAAGCAATAACTTCCTTCCAAGTGGGTTTAACAAATGACAGATGACCCGCTCTGCTCTTAAGAAACGCCTAGATGTACATAGCTTAACTTGGTATCCAAGATATTTGGCCCCCATATATCCCTCTTAATTGTTTAAAACTGGGAGAGATTTTGCCCCCTCTCCACCACAAGAAATTTGGAATTCTGGATAATTTTTTAAAAAAGACAGGATCTCACTCTGTTGCCCATGCTGGACTCAAACTCCTGGGTTCAAGCAATCCTCCTGCCTCAGCCATCGGAGTAGCTGGGATTATAGGCACAAGCCACCATACCTGCACTGTCACAACTAGAGGAGTGGGTTGTGCCACTGGTATCTATTTGTCAGAAGCCAGGAAGCTGCTAACCATCTTACAAAATGCAAAGGACAACCTCCCAAACAAAGACTTATCCAGTCCAAAATGTTAATAGTGACAAGGTAAGATCCTTGGTCTAAACTTGTCTCCAATGACTCTACCTCCAGTGCTGCCAATATCATCCATAACTGAACTTTTGCCATTCCAAATACTCCAAGCCTTCGCATTCATCCCACTTTCTGGAATTACCTTTCCATCAAACTCTGTGGCAGGTAAATACCTAACATTTCAACAACCTATCTCAACAACCTATGTCAAATGTCATCTCTAATACAAAACAAAGTCTATAAGCACTTTGTTAAACCTACTTTTGTAGTATCTACTACACTGCATTGTAAAATATCCATTTACATATCCACCCCTTTCATTCATTTATTCTAAAAACTATTTATAGAGCATTAACTATGTGCCAGACAATATGGGAGAGACTGTGACTGGCTATAAAACATAATCCTTGATCTCAAGAAATTTACAGCCTAGTGAGAAAGACACCCAGGTACGCAACACACATCCTATTTTAGAGACAGATATACAGTTTATTGAAATCAGTCTTAGGATGGTAAGGAAGGGTTACTGGAAGAAGTCGGCAAGAGAGAGGAAAAAAGAGAACATAATGACAAAAAACATTACCAATACTTAGTGAGTAAAGAAAAGAGGAAAAAGTAAACTATAACTAAAATGCAAGCTCCCCAAGGGTAAAAATTACATGTGTTGTTCACTTCTTAGTCCTCTGTGCCTGACACATAGTAAGTATTCATGCATCTCCTCTAAAACAAAGTAGAATGAATGAATTTAAGAGACTGAGGTACGTCTGGAAAGACAGTAGGAGGTCAAGAAATGGCAGCAAGTAGCCAGGAACAGTGGCTCATGCTGTAATCCCAGCACTTTGGAAGGCTGAGGCAGGAGGATCACTTGAGCCAGAAGTTCAAGACCAGCTTAGGCAACACAGTGAGATCTCATCTCTACAAAAAAATCACAAAATTAGTGGGGTATGGTGGTGTGCACCTGTAGTCCCAGCTACTCAGGAGGCTGAGGTGGGAGGATCACTTGAGCCTAGGAGTTTGAGGCTGCAGTGATCCTTTATTGTGTCACTATACCCAAGCCTGAGTGACACAGTGAGATCCCAACTCAAAAAAAAAAAAAAGAAGAAAGAAAGAAAGAAATAGTGGTAAGAGAGCTTTTAAATGGGGTCAGCAGTATCCAAAGTTCAATGCTTCATGGAGATCAAATTGGATAAGGGCTAATAAACCATCCACTGGATTTAGAGTCAGGAGGTTACTAATGATTTTAACAAAGGGCATTTCAGTGGCTTGATGGGATTAGGAGCAAGATTACAGTGAAATGAAGAGTGAACAGGAAGACAAAGCATAAATATGGACCATCCACTTTTAGAGAAAGCAAAATGGAAAGACTGACCTGAGACTGGAAGAAGAACATGTTATTTCTAAAACAGATGGAAAAAAAATCAAGATGGAAATCAAGAGGAAAAAAACAGGTCAATCAAAGGTGCTCTTAGATTAGCTTTTTGGTTTTCTTGTGAATTTATGCACAACCAAATTAACAAGTACCCATATTACCTGGCAAGATGGAGTTAAATACACATAGGACCAGAACACGCGCACTGAAGGGTTCCTGTTTGATATTCCGAAACAAGGGGGCACAAAGTCTTTCAAAGATGTAGTACACATAAAAAAAGCAACCAAAAACCTGAAACATAACAAAGACAGAATTACAATAATGAAGCCTTGGTAAGACAGAGGGTGAATTTTTTTCCTCCAAAAAAGGGTACACATGTGACCCTTAAATTAATGTTTACATATATGTTCCATTTAACAGTAGTATATAATATTGCTACGATCCTTCAGAGATTTTTTTTTCTTTTTTGATTCAGAGTCTAACTCTGTCACTCAGGCCAGAGTGCAATGGCACACTCCCAGCCACTGCAGCCTCCACCTGCTGGGCTCAGGTGATCCTTCCACCTCAGCCTTCCAAATAGCTGGAACTACAGGTATGGCCCACCATGCCCAGCTAATTTTTTTTAATTTATTGTAAGATGAGGTCTCACCAAGTTGCCCAGTCTGATCTCAAACCTGTGGGCTCAGGCAATCCTTTCACCTCAGCCTCCCAAAGTGCTGGGATTATAGGTGTGAGCCACCACGCCCGGCCGCCTTCAGAGATATTACTCAAGCCTAGCTTCTTCTGTAACTTTTCCTAACCCTTTATCAAATGATATTTTTTGTCAATATTTTTTATTTTGATATTGTGCGGTACAGTTAAGGGTTAGGTATACAAATATGCTTCATTCAGACCCCCTTGTTGATAACAGGTGTCTCCCTGTCCCCAGACAGATTCAAATGCTATTTTTAAAAGGTCATACTCCTACAACTTGTTTTTCCTGCTACATAAGGCCCATAACAAAATAACTTATTTCATAAAGGGGTATTTGATTGAGACAAAAATTTAAAATGGGATCTTCTGGGGTTTATGATTCTGATGGAGGTGGAAGAAGGAACGGGAGTGAGTCAGACCATACCCACACATATACCTCCCAAGCCCAAAGAATAACAGAAATAGAGGGGAAAATAAAATACAGGTAGTAACTGAAATAACTAAATACAGTTTAATTAAAATAATACTTTCTTTCATTGAAGAAAATTACTTCAATTTTGATGTTGGCAAACAAACACCATTTACTATAAGTTTAGAATAGTTTTGAAGACTTCATAGTCTCAACAGAAAGCATTCTTGAGTTTCCAGTAGATTTAAACAGATTATATTCTTGTTATAAATCTAAATCCCCATTTCCCATCAATCAACACGTCTTAGGCAATTAAAAAAAACTTACCTGTGCAAACTGCATAGCAACATAACCCCATCTTACAGTGGGAGTCCTAAACAAGAAAGAAACCAAAGTGAGTTTCTAAATAAAGTAAACAGGTCAGGCACAGTGGCTCATACCTGTAATCCCAGCACTTTGGAAACTGGAAACAAGAGGACTGCCTAAGCCCTACTGTTTGGGACGAGCCTGGACAACTTGGTAAGACCTAGTCTCTATAATAAAACAAAAAACTAGTCAGGCATAGTGGCGCATGCCTGTAGTTCCAGCTACTTGGAAAGCTGAGGTGGCAGGATATCCTGAGGCCAGCAGGTCAAGGCTGCGGTAGCTGTGAGCATGCCATTGCACTCCAGCCTGGGTAACAGAGTGAAATTCTGACTCAAAAATAAATAACTGAACTTGATTAAAGACTCTCACAAATAATAGAACTACACACTGAACATCATTTATGACCACATGAGATATTACTATAGTCAAATTAGACTGCTATAATCACCATTTGAGGTTCCCCATGCCAGATGAACACAAAAACATTCTATACTCTCTTTAGCCCTGCATGAACCAGGCCCTGCCTACCTGTCCCACCTCACTCATGTCACACTTCTGGCGCCTCCCACAATTCTCCTTCATAGTGTCATTACCTGGGATAGCTGTCACGGTAGATAAGGGTAGGAGCAAACAGGAAGTACAAATACTGGTTGACTGTGGGTATTGGAACAATGCCTAGAAAAGGAAAGCTATACTTAGATCAAAGCCTCTTTGATTTCTCTCAGCAAAACTAAAGTGGGAAAATAAGAAAGGAAAGAACAAAGAATAATAAAATGACTTCTCTTAGCTCATGTTGTTGCATCTAGAGCTACTATCGTGGTGTCTTATTCTTGCATTTATTGAATATCACCAATCTCTCTAAACTAAGTTATTCCTATGACTAGGATAATTTCTAGAGTATGAAGCAACAATTTGCAAAGAGTAGGCAGCCACAGGTGTGGTAAGGCTATTAACATTCCATAAAAATAATGCAGTAACCAGCCAGGCTCGGTGGCTCAGCCTGTAATCCCGCGCCTTTGGGAGGTTGAGGTGAGTGGATTGCCTGAGCCTGCGGGTTCGAGACCCGCGTGGGCAGCGAGACCTCATCTCTACAATAAATAAAAAAATCAGCCGGGCGTGGTAGCGCATGCCTGTAATTCAGCTACTGGGAAGGCTGAGGCGGAAGGATCGCCAGAGTCCAGCAGGTTGAGGCTGCGGTGGCCGGGAGCGGCCACTGCACTCCAGTCTGGGCGACAGAGTGAGACTCTAACTCAAAAAATAAAAATAATAATAATAATGCAGTAACTAAAGAGTCTAATTTTCAATTTTTTTAAATTGTAGGTTCAAGGGCAAAACAGAAAGAGTCAGGAAAATAATGAGGTAGTCCTCAAAATCAGTATGGAGTCTGTATATATTAAAATCAAATACAATCTCTACATTATATAACAGGCCATCCTAGTAAACACCAAAGGCTGAAATACCCCATTAATAATCTTTAGCCTAAGAAAATTACATACTTGATTTCTCCTTAGCTGAATTTAGTACCCGAGGCACGTTCTCTCTGACAAATGAATGTGCCTTCATTACAAAACGAATCTACAAAAGAAAAGGGGGGGAGGTGAATTTTCTATTATTGTCTTATCTCCCATAAGCAATTCTGGAACAGCACTAGATTACACATACACAAAAGAACTTCTTAATTTTGCATATACCAACCCTAGCTCACTTTTATGGAATAAAGCGAATTAAAAACAAACAAAAGATTCCAAAGAAGGACATGTAATTACTCCAAACTACTTTGCATGTAACATCACTATCTATTATGGGTATATTACAAATTAAGAAATTAAGCCAGGCATGGGGGCTCACATCTTTAATCCCAGTACTTTGGGAGGCTGAGGCGAGAGGATTGCCTGAGCCCAGGGGTTCAAGACCAGCCTGGGCAACTTGGCGAGACCTCATCACTATGATAAATCAAAAAATTAGCCAAGCATGATAGCGTGCACCTGTAGTTCCAGCTACTTGCAAGACTGAGGTAGAAGGATCACTGAAGCCCAGCAGGTCAACTCAGGGGTGGTCGTTAATGTACGTGCCATTGCACTCCAGTCTGGACAACAGAGTGAGATTCCAACTCAAAAAAACAAAACCAAAAAATTAGGCGGGCATGGTGGCACATGCTTGTAGTTATAGCTACTTGGAAGGCTGAAGCAGAAGTATCACCTGAACCCAGCAAGCTGAGACTGCGGTGGCCATGAGCATGCCAGCAGCCTGGGCAACACAGTGAGACTCTGACTCAAAAAAAAAAAAAAAAGAAGAAATTAAGTCTGCTCAAAGAAAGTCATCTATATCCTTCCCATTAGTTACAGAGCATTATAGACAGCAAATACAAGACAGAAAATTCTGAAGGGTGTGTAAACAAAGTAAAATAAATCCTTTACTTTGATGGAAATAACAAGCCAATTAATCAGTCACTTCAAAAGTAAAGTTTTTAATAAAAATGCTTTATAATTTAAATTTTACAAAAAGTATTCGGGAACAAAATTTTAATTCATCCAAAACAGTTCACTATAATTTATTTCATTTATTGAGACCCAGGGCTAGAATGAAAGCTAGAATTAAGCAAGACAGACAAGAAATGAGATGACTTAATTTAGCACTTTAATTTTACAGATAATGGTACAAAAGAACCATATATGAAAATGTATTCAAGTTAATACAGCTAAAAAGAACAGTTATCAGTATTTTATCATTATTGTTATTATTTTAACTAAGCACAGCACTGTCTTAGGGTAACACTCAAGACCTTACCTGTTCAAGTATAACAATGAACCGGGAAGCTGGTGGCAGTGTATAAGCTAATACAACATATGTTGGTCCAAAACCTAGAACTCCAATCTGGAAGACCATGAAAAGTAAGCCATGGAAGAGAGAATGGATCAATGGGTGAGAACTCTTGCTGTAGCCAGTGGCCCAACGCTGAAATAGAAAATAGGGGACTGAAAGTGTAGACAGGAACATGATCCACCAGGTCCAAACAACGGTAGGCAATTTGCCAAAAGCATAAGACAGGAGACTGAACTCAAGTACCAGCCTGGGGAGAAAAAGCACAGAAAAAGAACATAGAAGTGAATTGTTAATATACACTGAGGTCAAAAAATTCAAACACCAAACTTTCAATCTTAGGAAACACCACAATAGTAACATACTGAAACTCACAGATATAATAGTTCTGTTTCTAACCCTCTGCCTCACAGTATCTCAACATCAAGTTTTCTAAAAGGCCTAAGATAATAGTCTTTGAACTTAGGATACCTAAGATATTTGGACTTTAAACTTCTGAAAGATGACTCCCATATTAATACATATATATTTATATCCCATATATATATTTTCTTTTCCCCCCTCCAGTTAGAATCTCACTCTGTTGCCCAGGCTGGAGTACAGTGGCACTCTCATGGCCACTGCAGCCTCAACCTGCTGGGCTCAGGTGATCCTTCCATCTCGACCTTCCAAGTATCTGGAACTACAGGCACGCACCACCATGCCTGGCTAATTTTTTTATTGTTATTGTAGAGATGAGGTCTCGCCAAGTTGCCCAGGCTGGGCTCAAACCCATGGGCTCAGGCAATCCTCTCACCTCAGCCTCCCAAACTGCTGGGATTATAGGCGTGAGCCATCGTGCCCAGCCCCATATTAATATTTTTAAACTCTAAATTATTCTATGGCAAAATATTCAAATAGCAATCATTTCTATGTACAAAAGATGATTTTTCAGAGGGAAGCAAGTAAAATTCAAAAAATTTTTAATATATCATACCACTATGTCAAAAATCAATTTTCCAAAAAGTATATAATTCCATTCATGATTTATCACATTGTAATTTTTTAAATTGCAACTTCTAAAAGAGACAGAGTCTTGCTCTATCACCCAGGCTAAATCATAGCTCACTGTAGCCACTCCTGGGCTCAAGTGATCCTCCCACTTCAGCCTGTCAAGTAGCTGAGACTACAGGTACACATCACCATGACTAGCTAATTTTTTTGTAGAGACAGAATCTAGCTATCTTGCTCAGACTGGTCTTGACCTCCTGGCTTCAAGCGATCCTCTTGCCTCAGCCTCCCAAAGTGCAGGGATTAAAGTCATGAGCTACCACACGCAGCTCAATTTGAGTTTTATGTTAAAAAGAAACACCAAATTTTTCAACTTTAAATTCCAGTAAGCTACTTGTTTTAAGTAACAACATTAAACAAAGACCACCAAAAAATTAATAAATTATATAAAGTTATCCCTCTATATACTCAGGGTATCAGTTCTAGAACTGCTTGTAGATACCAAAATCTGCACAAACTCAAGTCCCTCGGTCAGCCCAGCAAAACCTACAGATATGAAAAATCTGCCCTTCTTACTCATAGATTTTGCATCCCAGGATCCTGTCATTTCCACCTACTTTGGTTGTAGATAACCACTGATAATAAGGGCCAACAGTATTGAAAAAAATCTGCAGATAAGTGGAAATGTGCAGCTCAAGTCTGTGTTGTTCAAGGGTCAATGGTATACAAAATTCTCCCATTTGGAAAAACTACCTACTAAATTACTAATTATGGTCTATTAAAATAGACTATTTTTAAAATAAAAGTAATTAAACTTCCAATTTTCTCTTTAGTCAAACTTTTCAGGGGAAAGGAATATCACCCTCAAATCAGCTGCTCTGAGATTTTATGAAGCAAATTTAAACAAATTATCCTTTAACCAAAATTCAGTGAAAACTCTGAACTTTTCATGCATCCATGCTTTTTGTTGTCTTACCTTCCTTCATCAATGTAATCTACTACAAGTGTGCTGAGGATAAAGAGAATGAGGAGAGCAATAAACATGTGATATATTGTTCTGATATGGTCCACTTCAAGCAGCTCACTGTAAATGTAGTCCAAACAAATCAAATTAATAATCTACATTTAACTTTTAAAACATTACATATTAAAGACTTTAAAGCAGTTAAGAAGATGCTTACTGCATCCTCCAAAAGCGTCTCAGAAAGAATCTTAAAAACTACCAGAAAAGGCCAATCACTGCAAAAAGGGAACACAAACTATTTGAAATGCTAAGTTTTTTTAAAGTCAGGTCCATACATTTTAATCCCTAAACTCAACAAGTATATACTAAGTACTATCTATTTCCAAGATGTTAAAATTGGCACATTTCAATAATGTTGATGACAATAACCAACTGCCACCTTACACATGTATACAACTTAAGCATTTACAAATGCTTTTAATTTCTCATTGACTTTTATATTTAAGACTGTGTTAATTTTCTTTTAAAACACAACAACTTTTCCTAAAGAAAGAAAAATATTTCATATCTGACTAAATAAACATATTTTTTATCTGACTTTTCCTAAATAACTATTTTATGTCTGACTAAAATAAGTTTTTAGCCTTGTTTTGGGAAAGATGTATACTAACCTTTTTAATGGCTTTGGGAAATTTAAAATACTAACCAATCTTTGAACTAAGGAACTTCAAATTCTAATAAACCACCTACACCACAGAAAATGTGTTCTATTTCCTTGGTTAAATTTTTTAAAAGTGTGGTTTAATTTTGCTTTTTATATAGAAATTCTATCATTAAAATCTTAATTATAATGTTCAAAATGTTTTTTATCTTTTATGTGAAAAGCCTGCCTTTTTCTCCAGATATAAATTTAAAAGATCTCTTCAGACTACAGTGTGGCAAAACACTGAAATGCTAAGTTTACATCACATGTTTAGAAAACTTCAGCCTTCTTATCAAGGTTAAGTAGTGTTGGTCAATTTGGCTCAGAAACTAAATTGATAAGCATAAGATGCATTTTTAAAGAAAAGTACATTAAGATACTTAAGGTAATTTCTCATCAACACAATTATTTTAGATCATCTGTATACTACTGCAGGTTAAATTTCAGTAGTATACTAATGAATACATAAATGAGTACATAAATAAGTGATCTGCTTAGAGGACATTAAAGAAATATTCATCAACTACCCAGAGTGCGCCTTTAATTTTAAATGACATCACTACAATTCACTTATATTGTATGGTTACACACACACACACATATGGCAACCAAGGTTTTAAAATAAGTAACTATGAGAAAATGATCAAGTCTCTAAACTAGCCAGCCAAAGAAGAAATGGATAAAATTTATGTCTCAGGCAGAGGTGAGAGGATTACCTGAGCTCAGAGGTTTGAGACCAGCCTGAGCAACATGGCAAGACCTTGTCTCTACAATAAAAAAAAAAAAATCAAAAACTCAGCTGGGCATGGTGACACATGCCTGTGGTTCCAACTACTTGGAAGGCTGAGGTAAAAGGATCACCTGAGCCCAGCAGGTCAAGGTTGTGGTGGCCATGACCATGCCATTGCTCTCCAGTCCGGGCAACAGAGTGAGACTCCAACTCAAAAACAAAAAAAATTATGTCCCAACAAAGCAGAAACTCTAGAATTCCAAAACTCCCTCAAAGTGGTTTTCTAATTAGAAAACTTTTGTTCTAACTCTTTCGGTAATCCATTTTCTTCAGCACAACTTCAAGGAATTTGTCAGAGGACAACCATTCTTATCCCCAACTCCTCCTTTGAAACTAGATCAGAACCAAAAGATCAAGAAAGGGGCAAGAGACAAAAAATGTACCCCCCAAAAAAGCAGATCTAATGATTTATATGGATACAGAACAAACTCATTACATATTTAGAGATTAAGCAACAATTCTATCTGGATAGTTTTTTTAAAAAAATAAAACTGATAATTAACAAAAACAACCAAAAATACTCACTCTAAGAGAGAGCGTCTTGAAGCAAAAATCTTTCCTTGTTCTGGAGGTGCTCTCAGATCTCTGAAAAGAGAAAAAATTAAAACAAAATATAAATATTTCAAGTAATAGAAGAAAATCTAATCCCATGGACAAGAGAGAAAATATTACCAACGACCCCATCGTTTTTCTTTATTTTTGAGTCAGAGTCTCACTCTGTCACCTAGGCTGCTGTGCAGTGGCATGATCAAGGTGCTCTGCCGCCTCAGCCTCCTGGGTTCAGGCAACACTCTTGCCTCAGCCTCCCAAAGTGCTGGGATTCCAGGTTTGAGTCACCACGCCCAGCCACACTGTACTTTATTGTAAGTATGGCACAGAGTACAACAGAGAAGCACATAATGATAAGATTAAGGGCAAGAACCCTCGAGCCAGAATGTGGGTTCACATCCCTGCAGTGTAATTTTGGATATTTAAGTGCTCTGTGCTTGCTTTAGTTTGCTAATTGGTAATATGCAGATAGTTACAGTATCTGTGTCATGGGGTCACCGTTTGGTTTAATGAATTAATCCATGTAGAGCACTCAGCAAGTGCTGGCACTATTATTTTATTAGGCAACAGTCTTAAAAAGAGGTATACATGTATATTACAATTTGCACATTAAGACCAAAAATTTCACCCTTCAAGTGGTTAAATAACTATCCCAACACAACACACAGCCAGTAAAAAGTGATATCATGGTGTATATTCATTCTTAGCACAGTTCACATTCTGACCACCAAGCTATACTGAGTTGATGTATGCATTAAAAGAAAATAATACACATACTTACTTTGCTCTATGGTTGTTTTTCTCTCCTCCAAGTACAGAAAAGGTTGTGAGAGCACATCCACCATTATCTAATGATGCTGATTTTTCAATGAGATTGGTCACAAAATCATCAAAGTGACTGCCAACTTCCTTCATAAAAAATGGCTTCAATTCCTAGAATGTTACAACAATAAAATAAAATAAGAACCTAACACATTTTTTTTTGAGTTGGAGTCTTACTCTGTTGCTCAGGCTGGAGTGCAGTGGCACGCACATGGCCACCCCAGCATCAACCAGCTGGGCTCCAGCCTTCTGCCTTAGCCTTCCAAGTAGCCAGAACTACAGGCGCACACTACCATGCCCGGCTAATTTTTTTTAATTATTATTATTGTAGAGATGAGGTCTTGCCAAGTTGTCCGGCTGGACTTGAACCTGCAGGCTCAGGCAATCAACTCACCTTGGCCTCCCAAAGTGCTGGGATTACAGACTAAGCCACCGAGCCTGGCTAGCATTTTTTAAAGGACTTCCTTAAACAGAGCTGGATCAAAAGAAAGTCATAATAAGTGAGTTCACAGGAGTACAAGCAGAAAAACAATTCTTATATCTGACTTGTAGTTTCAGAAATGGCTACCAAAAAGCCACAGTGATTTATACCTTTTTAAGCATAAATCAAGATATCAAAATAAGCATAAATCAAGATATCAAAGTAATCAACTAGTAAATGAGCTCCTACAAATACACAAAATCAAAATTACAAAAGGGATCAAAATGACAGACTATTCTTTTCACATTTTTAAGAAAAACAAAAAGATTTTTAAAATTAGCATTTTAACTCCCCTTTTTTCTTGTTTTTTTCTTTGTGAGACAGGGTCTCACTTTGTTGCCCAGGCTGGAGTGCAGTGCTGCAATCATGACTCACTGCAGCCTCAACCTTCCGGTATTCAAGTCATTCTCTTGCCTTAGGTTACTTAGTAGCTAGGACTACAGGAATACACCATCATGCCCAGCTAATTTTTGTATTTTTGTAGAGATCAGGTCTATGTTACCCAGGCTGGTCTCCCGGCCTCAGCAATCTGCCAACCTCGGCCTCCCAAGTGCTGGGATTACAGGTGTATGCCACCATGCCTGGCCTAAGTCCCCTTTTTTCTAAAGCAACTACTTCACCCCAAGTACCTAGCATTCACATTTCAGAACATAGCATTTCTATATCATACCTACATTTATGCAATATTTATTCCTACCCCCATAACCATATATTTAACCATAAAACATATGCGTATATGTGGTATATATAAGCATGTATATATCCATACATATTTTCATAAAATTATTTTGTGTATATACATACAATTTATCTTATGAAAATATATGTATATGTATATTAACTGTTATACATTTTGTTCTCAGACCATTCTTAAAGCTCACATTTCCAAAAGTATTAAAAAGTATGAAGTAAAAAAGATTTCTTCAGGTTATAATTGGTTACCTACTATGGATGCCCAAGTTATAAATTTGGGCATTTTTAAACTGGCAGGACATATTAGAAAGGAAAAATTGTTATTTAATAATTCTTCAAGAAAAATAAAATTTTCTTCCTGCTGACTACATTATTTATGTTGAACTTAGAAGACTTTTTAGGTTCTATTATACCAAAGAGCTTGACCAAGTCCTTTAAAAGTAAAGCCTAGAAGTATCAATGCATGTAATGGAATTACATGAAGGCTTTTCCTTTTTTTTTTTTTTGAGGTGGAGTCTCAACTCTGTCGCCCAGGCTGGAGTGCAGTGGCAAACTCATGGCCACCCCAGTGTCAACCTGCTGGATTCCAGTGATCCTTCTGCCTAAGCCTTCCAAGTAGCCGGAACTACAGGTATGTGCTACCATGCCTGGCTAATTTTTTATTTTTTATTGTAGAGGTGAGGTCTCGCCAAGTTGCCCGGACTGGTCTCGAACCCGTGGGCTCAGGCAATCCACTCGCTTTGGCCTCCCCAAGTACTGGGATTACAGGTTGAGCCACCAAGCCTGGCCACATGAAGGCTTTTCAAACTATTCTGCTTCCTCCAGTACCCAAGTGTCTTTTGGGTCCTGAGCAGTGAGGATACATGAAAGTCCCAGCACTCACAGGACAGATGATGGAGTTAGAAAATATAAGACATACATTATATAAACAACACACAGTAGACTACCTGTCACCTGAACAGTATAACCAATAAAGACTTAAAGAATGTATAAGAGCTTTACAAACAAAGCAAGAATGAGTTGACTGAAAAAAGGAGAAAAAAAGGGGAGACGATGTTACAAAAAGAAGAGAAACAGGAAAGCATGAGGAATTAAAGCCACAACTGAAAATGCAAATGAAGAGGTAAGTCTCGGAGACAAAATAGAAAGAGTCCATGTTTCCTGGAAGAATCGTTTTTATAAAATTCTCATATTAAGTTTAATAGTAACAAATAGTTTAGTTTATTTGTTGAATTTCAATTAGATGCCCATCTTCATTTTGAAATTAGTTCTCAATGGGAAGTACCCCAACCAAAAACAAACATTTCCCCCAAAAAACCCCAAAAGTGAGAAAGAAAAATGGGGTTTTCCATTTAATCTCTAAAATTAGATTGATTAAAAAAAAAAAAATCTTGCCGGGCTCGGTGGCTCAGCCTGTAATTCCACGCCTTTGGGAGGCTGAGGTAAGTGGATTGCCTGAGCCCGCGGGTTCGAGACCCGCCTGGGCAGCGAGACCTCATCTCTACAATAAATCAAAAAGTCAGCCGGGTGTGGTAGCGCATGCCTGTAATTCCGGCTACTCAGAAGGCTGAGGCGGAAGGATCGCCGGAGCCCGGCAGGTCGAGGCTGCGGTGGCCAGGAGCAGCCACTGCACTTCAGTCTGGGTGACAGAGTGAGACTCCAACTCAAAAAAAAAAAAAATTTTATACTTACTAAACCCCCACTAGCTGTATATTAAAGGTAGACTAAAATATTGTGCCAGAACAGTCTAGCAAAACCTCTCTAAAACACTACTCCCAGACAGGCCTCAGTCTACAGTTCTCAATGAGACTTCCAAATAAAACTAACATTAATTATTTAAAAGTTCAATGTTTTTTTTTCTTTATTGACACATACCAAAGCTAGTAAACACTGAGTAAAACGATGCCTTTAATGCTAATAATAATGTAGTAAGGTCAAGCGCCATGGCTCACGCCTATAATCCCAGAACTTTGGGAGGGCAAGGTGAGAGGATTGCCTGAGACTACGGGTTTGAAACCAGCCAGGGCAACCTGGCGAGACCTCATCTCTACAATTAAAAAAAAAAGTTAGCCAGGCGTGCAGGCGTGGTGGCATGTGCCTGTAGTTCCAGCTAGTTGGAAGGTTGAGGTAGAAGAAGCGCCTGAGCCCAGCAAGTCAAGGTTGCAGTGGCCATGAACATGCCACTGCACTCCAGCCTGGGCAAAAGAGTAGATTCCAACTCAAAATAATAATAATAATATAGTAAAAGAAATATGCACTTCAGCAGGCAGACCTGGACAAACTCTAACTCCACCACTTGAGTGTAGCCTCAGACAAGCTATCTCATTTTTCTAAGCAAAACAAAATCAAAATAAATGACAACTAACATGCTAAATTGCTGTGTTAATTAAAAAACAAAAAAGCTGACAAAAACATACAGCACAGTACCAGACACAGTTATCGTCCTACAGATATTTGTTGTTCCAACCCTTCCCCCTCAGTCTAAGCTAACCTATAAGGAAAAGCACAACCAAACAATGTACAATAAAAACTGCAATTCAAGCAAATCCTATCACTTAGTAATTTTACCGTTAAAAGGTAACTATTTAAATCTACCACATTCCTACATATAGCATTATAACTAGATGCCTAATGTTCATTTCTTAATGCCTTTCTCCTCTTTCACTAAGGAATTAAAGTTGATGGATGGTACTGCCACGACGACACAAGGAAAGAGTCTGAATTGTGGACACTATTAAGTTTCCTTAAACTCCTCCTTTTATAGATCTTACTACTGATGACAATAGAGTGGCTGCTTATTACTGTTACTCCTTTGTATGAGAGAGTATTTGAATATAATACAGTATAAGAAGTGATCTGCTTCTGCCTTCTGAGCTCTGCTATTACATGACACTGTTGTTAATTAGAACCTCACTATGTGATCACAAATAAATCTGAATAACCTCTAGTATTGAGTAATCTGAAAAGGACTCTTTTCAATCTCTTATATTAATATCAATTTCATCCAGCCAATGGACTACAATAGCCCCAGCACCAGATGGATACATGAAGAAAAGGGAGAAAAGAAGGAAGGGAGTTAACTAGAAACTAGAAAAGGTGCTTAGATAATATAGCAAACAGAAGCACTGTATTTTAGAGTTCAAAGAAACCTCTTGTTTTAAATAAGCAGCTGAATTAGGTAAATTTTAGAGATTCCAAGAATGGGGAGCAATACCCACGATGCAAAAACCCTGTGGTTGGAACATATAGCAAAGGTACAAACAATCAGAGTTAAGACTGAAAACCCAAGAAGGGACTAGATCCATGATGAACCTTTAAGTCAATTTAAGAGTTTATTTTATCCTAAAGACATTTTTAAGTACAAGATCTAAAAGCATGTTCAGATTTGCATTTTAGGACAATAACTCTTCTAAAAAGGCTTTCCAGGCAGAGGTTACTTAGGACTGAGTTTTATTTATTTATTTTTATTTTTATTTTATTATTATTTTTTTTAAGTTAGAGTCTCACTCTGTCACCCAGACTGGAGTACAGTGGCCACTCCTGGCCACCGCAGCCTCGACCTGCTGGGCTCTGGCGATCCTTCCACCTCAGCCTTTCAAGTAGCTGGAACTATAGATGCTCGCTACCATGCCCGGCTAATTTTTGATTTATTGTAGAGATGAGGTCTCGCCAAGTTGCCCAGGCAGGTCTCGAACCCATGGGCTCAGGCAATCCACTCACCTCGGCCTCCCAAAGCGCTGGGATTACAGGCTGAGTCACCGAGCCTGGCCAGGACTGAGTTTTAAAACGAGAAAAGGGCAGGGTCATTTATGGATAAATAAGATAACCCTTTCAAAGGTAGAGAGGTACAAAAAGAATTTTTTTTGCAGTTGACCAATCAGTATATAATAGCATTTTCGGTTTCTCAAAAATTTAGGTCACTTGATTAGAATTTTTT